AAGAAAAGTTCTGGACACTGTCTCTGGAATTGTACCAAACACCCACCCATAATGATACACCAGAGACGCACTTCCTGTAATAGACGGCAATGGCAAAGCTCTGCTGTACTCTTTTGCTAAAAGAGCCAGAATCGAGCTTTTGCAGATTTCTAAAAGGACTCACAGAGTGGAGGGGGAGAATAGCCCAAAGAGTTTTGCTCTCAGCTGTTTTCACAACTGAAGATGAGTTGAGCATTTGGATACCCCATCTCTCTCTTTAATTATCTTGTTTTCTCTCTTTCTAGGCAGTGAATTCTGGGGAACTTCGCGCCTTTGACTGGGGAAGTGAGACCAAAAATCGGGAGAAATGCAACCAGGTAAGAGTGCTAACTTACTTTGGAACCTGCTAAAAACTCACCAGCCTTTGGAAATGGGTGACAACTTATTCCAGAGATAGGAATAAACTACAAAACTCCAAGCGGTAAGGATGATAGTTCAACTTTAGCTGTATCTGAAAACAGGAAAGTATACAGTGTAGCCAGCAGCCTCTTCATTTCTGCAAAGCCTGTCCCAGGAGCAATGCAGCAGGGATTCTTGCAAGCAAAATGGGGTTGAGTTGGTCAGATGATTGCATACTAAAGGGATTCTTTTAGGAACAAAACAAACATGCACATAGAGATGCTGTGGTGGTATGACTCTGGAAAAAGAGCCAGAAGCAGTCAGTGAGAACTCCTATTTGTCATGGCACTGCACCTCAAGCCTGTGGGATTGTGGGTAGGTTGCCATGATTCAGGATGTACTCTCTCTAAAATAGAAATCATTGCATCGTGTAATCTTTAAGATGCCTTCGGGGCTGGGGAGATGTCCCACTCGTAAGAGTACTTGCTGTGCATACATGAGGACCTGAGTTTCCCTAGCACTTACGTAACAAGCCAGACATGGCCAAGCATGTCTGTAATCTCAGTGCTGGGAATTGGGTGTGGGAGATAGAAAGATTGCTGGCGCTTACTGACCAGCCAGTTTATCCAGAAATACCACGGACTCTAGATGCAGTGAGAACCCTGTCTCAGGGGAACAGGGCAAACAGTTGCTCCATGTCTTCCTTTGGCCTCCATCCATGCACAGAGTGTCTCATAGTGTATGTACCTGTATATACATGTGTGTGCACACATATACCACACCACCACCACCCCACACACACACGCACACACACACACATTCTCTCCGGTTATACTTTTAATAAATATGAATTTCAAGCTAAAATCCAAACAGAATCTCACACAAATATTATTACATCATTACATCATCGGGAATGTGAAATAGACACGTGGAGAAACAGAACTGAGTGTGTATGCTCTTCTGAGTATAAAATTCTCACTGAAGATTTCCAGTTGTCATGAAAGTAGATATAGAGATTACTTATAAAATGCAAAGTGGAGGGGCAGAATGTACACCTAAACTTTCTTTAAAGTATCACATTATACCTAACAGTCAGTTCAGTAATCCGCCTAGATATAAAACGTTGGAACTGTGAGGTTCCCCTTAGATATCAAACTCAGTCACATTTTCTAACTTTTTGAGATTACCCTTGACTGTCTTCAGAACCACGCCTTTAAAGAAAACATATCAGGATCTAAGATGTTTTTCATCTTATAAGGATTTTATGGGCTGAATTCTAGAGAAAATGACAGATGCAGATTAGGCATAAGAAAAATGGCAAGGAAGAGCAAACAAATGTGGGAAGATGCCATTCAACAGTGTCAGCTGGAGCTGGGTGGAACAGTTAGCTCAGGCTTTTTACCCAGAAGATGAGAAAGGGTGAGTGTTGCTCACACCATAGAGTGTCTTGGCTCTGCATCTGAATTAGGCAGCCACTTAAGTGCTTAGGGAGCCCAGAAGAAGCTATCTGGAGTTGAAGCTGTGACTTGTGGTTGATTTTATGCTAAGAAACTGGCCTCCCTGTTTCCGTGGAAATTTCTGAGTGTTGAATGATATCGAAGACTCAGACTCCCAGGAAAATCTAGCACCATATCCTGAACTAGAGAAGTCCCCTGGATAAAGAAGACTTCTTTGGATGATTTGGGGGCAGCTAAGTCTGGGTTAGGGACAGGCATCTAACTTTATTCTCCTGAATAGTTTAGAGTAGCTCAGTGCCTGAGGCTGATTTATGGTTTCTCCCAGTTTGGGAAGTGCAGTGAAACTGAACCTTCATTGTGTACGTGGGGGATACACAGGCCTTTGTAATAGCTTCCCTGTCTTTTCTGTGGAGTGTCCCATAAATTGTCACTATCAAGAACATTATTTTAAAAGGATATTTATGTATAAAATGTTTAATCAGAAAAATTATACATTATTCAATGTCTAAAATACAAGGTAAGCACTCAGTAGAACAAATATAACATATGTTCAGCATGCATAAATTAAACTTGTCAATACATACAAGCATGTGTGCAAACACACAAATACACACATGCACATGCATACACACTCGCCCTAATTTATATACTTTCTCAAACAACATAGTAAGGTTTTAGAGATAGTATCTCTATTTCTCAGTAAAGAAACTAAAGTTGGACTGTGTTAAGTTTTCCTTAAAGTGTGACCTGGAATATAAACAGAGTTCAACATGACTAATGCCTACATACATTTCAGTACATGTACATTAGGTTTACTTGAAGTAGGAGTTGTAAATTTGATTATAAAATATTGTGTGGAGTTCAAACTATTCTTTTTACCTAGCCAACTCCTATAAGGTACAAAGTTCGAGATATGATGGTCCCCACAGCAATGTGGACTGGAGGTCAAGACTGGCTTTCAAATCCAGACGACGTGAAAACATTGCTTTCTGAAGTAACCAACCTCATCTACCACAAGAACATTCCTGAGTGGGCTCATGTGGATTTCATCTGGGGGCTGGATGCCCCTCAGCGTGTGTACAATGAAATCATAAATCTGATGAAGCAGGAGCCCAACCTTCCCCAGGGAACCTGCAAGGTCAAATTGTGAAGCTCCTGCTGTTAGCAAGTCTTAGAACAACTTCATGCAGAATAAGCAGGGCTATGGGAGGATGGTTGTTCAAAGGAATGTCCAGACTTAGAAACCTGCTGTGTCAGTTAGTCAGAAGGACAGAGGAGATACACAGATTCCAGAAGACCTTCTGAACCAAATGAAAGCTTCACGTTCCCTCACAACATGAAAGCGATACTTACACTTTTTTTTAGTTGGTTAAACTAAGTTGGTGAACACAGGTTTTCCATGCTTTGTATCTTCTGTAATGGAGCAACGTAGTTTTTACTTACCTGTAGGAAGTATCTAGACAGATATCATTACATCATTCAACCTTTCCAAAATATTTTTTTGTTTTTGAAAGTCAATTTTTTGGAACTTAAAAGGAATAATTGGGGCAGAGATTAAAATTGTAAATCTTTGGATTGTTGACTTGGAGAAAATAAAGTGGACCTGGCCATCTTACTGCCGTAAAGACAAGACACTGCTTCGGGAAGCCAGGCTGGATATCAACACAAAAGTGAAATTATTGTTTGTAGGTGGAATCAACTAAACAATTTTAAAACAGAATCAAGTTTTAGAGCTGAATCTCAAAGAAGATTATTTTGTAGGATATTTATGAGTTTTCCAATAAATTATGTGTCTTACATACCATGTCTGTGTGTCAGTACTGAGGTTTTCATCTGCTATTGGGAGACCAGCTGCTCTAAATGAAAGCTACAATGAAAAACTTATAACGTTCATGAGCAGAATGAAATAAATTGATGTGTGTTTTATTCTTTAATCAAAGCAGAATCATTTTCAGATCATCTCCCAGCTCTTTTATAAATCTAGATTTATGTCCTTGGAAAACTTTTTAATTTTCACACAATTTCAAAGATGACAGTTGTTAATTATGAATATTATTTGGCATTCGACTCTGAAGACAAATCAAAGCTCCACTGTGCCTGTTGGAGTTCCAGTTGAGAATATACAGTTGTTTGTTAAACATACATTAGACTGTGAAGTTCATTTTGTTTCCCCAGAGTTACCTGGTAAGTTAGTCCAATGTTACCAAACCTTAAGTAAATTACTTAGTAATATTTAGAGACTTCAGGACCCTATGTGTACCCTTAGGGTATGTATATAGCTTAGGAAACATGTCTAGATTTGATTTTTGTTGAACCTTTTGTAAAAAATGACTATTATTATAAATGGATTATAAATAAATTAATACAGCTGTTTTTCTTTATCCTAGCCAGTGCTCCAATAACATCACAGGCAGACCAAGATGTATTTTCAACTTAAAGTACAATAGTTAGGCATTATCCTCTAATCTAGTGTGGCTACCTCCAAGCCAAAATCCCCAAGATACTCACGATTTAGTATTGGCCTGGCTCTCTAGGCTTCAGGAGTGTTCTGCCTTGATGTTTCTCCAGACCCCTTCCTTGTGTCGAATCCCTCTTCCTCTCTTTCTCTTCCTCCTCCCCTGAGTGGAGGAAGTCCCGCCCTATCCTCTCTATTGCCTAGTTATTGACTTTTATTGACAAGGCAGAGAATAAATGGTGAGCATTGTCTACACAGACTTAAGACCAGAGATTCTTAATGTAAGTATTATAGTGCCATGGGTTGAAAACAGATAATGGGATAAAGAAATCAGTATTTGAATAATACAAAGGTAAATTTTACACAGTGCACGATAACATTATGTCTACAGCCCTTTTGTATGCAAGGATAGTAAATCTTTCATTCTTAACTGTTTTTTGCCGTAGTGTGTAGTGTGGCTTCATCCATGTCGGCATCTGTGCCTGTGTCATCCAGATTCTCAAAATTCACTCAGGAGGTAGATTTAATTCCATTCGGTGTCATTCCCAAAAGAAGTCAGTTCAGTATTCATAACCTCTCACTTAAAATATGATCCATACACTTCCATGTTTCTAGGAAGAAGTAAGACCTTTATCCAAATAAGTTATTATTCTTTATAAATTCTGTCAATAAAACTAAATAAACCTGGGGCTGAGAGTATAGCTTAGAGGTAAACCCCTCGCTTAGTATTACTGAGCCCCTAAGTTGAATTCTTAGTGTCACAAAAAGGAAAATAAATAAATAGCAACTAGCTTATATCCACAAGAAGATTCTTCATTTTTGGTGTTGAGGGTGACTCCTAGGTTTTATGTATAGCAAACAGATGCTCTACCAGTCTTATAAGGATTATGAACAGACATTTTTCAATATTTACATAACTTGCAAACTGAAAAGGCATGTATACAGATCTAGCCTCTCCTTCTCCACTGCCCCCGCCAAGGGAAACAATGACAAAAGTCAGTTTTGCTATGGGGCATGTGCCAATTTCTATGGCTTAGTCAAACTCATCACTGACAACTGACATATGTTTTTATTGAAGATTTTCCATCAAAGGAATATTTATTCTGGAATCTCTAACTCCCCACACATGCATGCCATGTTGTACAAGTGCACATGCTTTGATTCTTGAGCTTAGTATGTAAAGGGGCCTGAGATGAGCCATTTATCTCCCAAGGCAGGATGTAGGGCAAAGTCTTCAGAAGGATGACATCACTAGAAAGAGAGCATGTGACCTCAGGTAACTCTGACTTGTGTTTGGAAGACACTGGGTTATAAATTCTTTAAATATCAGGTTTGACAACAGAGATTTCAATGAATGTAATGGGTTCTTTGAAGAGATCAAAGTCATGTTGACCTCCACTGTAAAAACCATTCTAGGTCCAGTGTTTGTCACAAAGTGGATGCATCCAGCTTGAGTGCCCATAGAGCAATAGTCCATGATACGGACAACATGAAGTCCTTCAGCTGTGTCTCTGTCACCACATGAGAAGCCACAGGGCTATGAGGCTTTCTTTAGCATTATTGCAATCTGGGAAAATTTTAGTCTCTGTGCGATATCCAGTGAACTCTCACCATGCTGCAGAAAAAAAGAAAGAAATAATTTACTTCCAGGAGAGACCAATGTCAGTGAGGAATAGGTAATACTTTAGACAGATTGCTCACTCTCAGATTTTTCAGAGGCTTTAAAATGCCCTCTGTTCTAAAAAACTAAAAATACATTTTAAAAACTGTTTTAAAAGAGACTGGAAAGCAATCATGAGGCCTACCTGGGCAAGTGAGTGAGAGAGACCTTGTCTCAAAATTTAAAAATCAAAAGGGGGTTGGAGATATAGTCCCAACTCTAGAGCACTTGTCCTGCATATTGAACATGCTGTATTTAATCCCAGATCGGAAAAATATAAATATTTTTAAAATTCAAAGCTGAAAATAGCGAGATTCTTCGTTAATAAGAACAATTAATTTTATTATGGTTCATATGAGAGGTAATGAACTTACTTCAAAAAAAAAAAAAGGCCCCAGATAAGAAAAACTTCCTAGAGGGAAGACCAGAGTTCCCAAGCTCTTACCTTGTTCTTTATCGTGGGGTCTGCACGGGCTTCCAGAAGCAGAGGGATGAGAGTCTGGTTTTTCATCTGGCAGGCATAGTGCAGGGCGGTGTAGCCGTACTGAAACACAGAGGACCAACCTTGTCGCCCATCAGTCAACTGTGCGCAGGCCTCAGCACCCTCCCCTTTAGCAACTGTTCATGTTTCATAGTGGACAACTAAGCAAAACCAATCTGCAAGCCATTCATGGGCAGCTGTATTTCTTTTACTGTGAATATTTTTTTATCTTCCTTGCCATGTATGTGAAAAATCCAGTAACTCATTGATATCTTCCCCCTTCTCATTTTCCATTCTAAACTAAAATGTGCAACTTATTAAAAGATATTAAACTCATCATCATTTACGCCCAAATCAAATATAACATTAAGTAATCTAATCAACAGAAACAAGAAGGAGGTGGTCATTCATCACAGAACAATGGGAATACCTGCAGAATAAATTAGGCATCAAAAATAGAAATGAAATTCTTTTGAAATCAAATTCCAACTTGCCCTTTTTGCTAAAATATTGGAAACCTAAAATTTTACCAACAAATAATAAAATGTCAGCCTACCCAGAGAGCATTAGCAGAAAAATTAAATCTGGAATGTAGGCTAAAAGGTAAAAAATAAAACCTTCCTCTTCCTTATAAGAAGGAGGGAGGTGGTGATGATTCACTTACCATGGCTCCTACCACCACAGGGGAATTTCTCTGAACTTTGAGCTTATTTACCTTCCATTTATAAAAAAAAGACCTCTCTGTCTTCTAGTAGTTAGGATCATGAATGCAGCAGCTACATCCGGTGAGCATTAACTACATTCTAATCTCTCCTCTGACGACTTTGCAGGAACCTGCCCTATAAGGTCAGTACTAATTTCCAATTTACAACCAGGCGCTTTGGGTAGGTCTTTAATCCCAGATACTCAGAGGACCAAAGCTGAAGGGTCACAAGGTCAGGGACAGGCTGAATAACTTAACAAAAGGTTACTTCATTAAATTAAAATATAAATAAATAAATAAATAAATAAATAAATAAATAAATAAATGGAGTGTAGACATATCTCAGTAGTTGAGTAGTTAGCTAGCATGGATGATGATTTGAGTTCAGTCTTTAGCACAATTTGTTTTAATCTCCATTTGATGGGTAAGGAAATTGAGTCAGATAGATTTATTAATGTTTCAAGCTCATTTAACTAGAAAGTAACAAGATTAAATGTTTGCACATGCATTCTAACTAATTCCAGCTGCCAATCTACTAAGGATAGTATTTTGATATCTTTATCCTTAATTTATCACTACAGACAAACGCAAATTCTTCTGAATTTTTTTGAATATTCAACAAATGCTTTATTCTCATGAGTTTAGTAAAAGAATATCTATAACTCCAAAGTTGCCTAATGGCAATGAGAAAAAGGGGAGGAAAACTGTACACAAAACATCTAGAAAAACAAAGCATTCATCTTTGCTACCAAGTATACTACCCAGGTATATCGTGTAAATATTATTTCAGAATACAGACTTACGCAGTCAGTAGCATTAACTTCAACCCCAGCATTGAGGAGCATCCGTACAAGAGTCTCATTCTGTTTTGTCTTTGATATCTGTCACAAACAAGAAATTGTTTCACAAACATTTTGAACATCTTGTTTTGGGACTGTTCCAATCAACTGGTGGAATTCATCCTGGAACTTGTGTTAATGGAAATAACTACTGTCCATCATCTGGTAGCTGCATAAAAGAGGTAGCACAACCAGGTAACATGGGGAAGGGATCCACTGTTTCAGTCATCTTTCAAAGGTAGAATTGGTCACAGTGGGACCCAGATGGGGAAAAAATGAAAACAAAACAAAACTGGTGTAGAATGGTCACTCTATTTGAAGAGAACAGAAAACATATAAAATAACCAAGTTTGACCTTCAACTTAACAGGATTCCTACATTACTTAACTACTTATTTATTCAAGAAAATTTACTTGCCAAAGCCCCATGCAATCATGATTTAGTGTCGTAGGTTACAATCTCTCAAAACAGCTTCTGTGTTAGCTTCCAGGGCAGGGGAGTTATGGTTTTCACTCCAACTCACCCATGGGGTGAATCTTTAAAATTCAGAAATTTAGAGAGTTATGGTATGAGACAAAAGTCTTAGCCAGTGATTCTGAGACTCATATGCTGCTAGGCAATGGGGGTGAACTTCAGTGTGATCAGAAGGTAGTCCACACTGTGTGTTTACTCTAGAATGCACCATGGTCTTAATCCATGACAATTGATAGGCTGGGTAAAGTAAATGAATTTCTACCTAAAACATTTTCATTTGTGCAAGGGTTGTTGAAATAGAACTCCATTGTAAGTCAAGAAACAGCTGCACTAAATAAGGCCTATTTTCTTGCCATTTCTTTACATCACACAGTTGGGAGGTACTCAAGTCATTCCATGACTCTGCTACACATCTGGCCTTTGACCTAACAACAGTACTCACCATGAGGAAATATCCAATTAGCAAAACAGGCATCAAAAGAATAATGAGCAGATAATCAAAGAAGGTAAATCTCTTCTTCACAGCGTAGTGCAAGCAGGTTCTCCCCTTCTGCAATTAAGAAAAGGATTCATTAACTCAAATTCCACAGTTTTTAGAACATCACATCAAAAGGTTTAGTTCATGCTTCTTTTTTTCCCATTTCTAAGGCACTCACTACCAAGAAGTACAGAGCTGATTATGACATTATGCCATGTTCTCTCAGGCCTCTTCCATAAGCATATATAGAATTTTTAAATGTAGGACTATACTACATATTCAAAACCATATACTCCGTATACATATTCAGCCTAGGTACCTTCTTTTATGGTACACATCTGTTTAATAACCTTGGGATTTTGTTTACAAGGATGTTGAATTTGCAGAGTATGAAGGAACACTGGGAAAGGACCAAAAGTAAAAACAGATATGGATGCATATACAAACCAACACAGGGTGACTCCTTGTGCTTTAGTTTTTGAGATAAAAAACCACATAATATAATGAGATACAAATATAGAGTTAAAGTTAGTATGAGAAGGCACACAGACATAGACTGTCTGGATTATCAGTGATTAAAAATTTATCTGTCTTATGTTTTGTTGTGGAAAGTTTTAATGACTTGGCAATTCTCCCACATTTCCTAGCACACAGACAAACAACTTAATTCCTCAAATATGTCAGTGTCCATTGGTGATAATATGTGCCGTGTGGAGTGTGCACCTTCAAGTCCCAATACTTGGAGGAGGCCAGAAGCGTACACAAATAAGTATGAGGCCTACAGGCTGCTGTGCTATCTGGAATACCAACCAAGTTAGTAGGGAAAGAGAACAAGAGAGGTGAGTGAGCCCTGGGTGGAAGCACCATTCTCGAGGTACCTGTCTGCTCTGTGAAAATGTTGGAAAACAGTCAAGAATATAGTGGTAGACTTTAAAATTACATTGCTGAGCAGCCCCGACTTTGTTCATAACATTATACTCTACTGACACTGTATAATTAAACAAACATATGTAGAATTTGAATATTTAGACTTTTCAATATTTCAGTGTTGTATGTTCAAAACTATGTGTGGTTTTCATCAGTTTACACATGCATCTTTGGAGTAAATACATCTCCCACAGCATCAAAATGTTTACGAATGGGATTTTAATGGCTTTTTTTTTCATTGACTGAAATTCTTCTAACTTCTTTAGACACATCTACCAAGTGGATTGTTCAAGCTGTTAAACTGTAACTTCTACAAATATTATTTAAATACACTTAGTCAGAAAGCCTTGTCAACAATTCTAAATTTGTATTTTGCATACATTCCTATAAATTGACTACCTGACATAAAAGATGCATAGTTTCACAGGATGCTACCAAATTATGCTACAGTGAGAGAATGATGTAAGCTTCCTTCCCAGTCAACATTTGATTTTTCTCGTTAATTCTAGCTAGTTATAAGACAAAAAACATTATGGCATCCTGTGTTTTAACTTTAGTTCGACTTGCTTCCCACTGAGCCCATGTTTTGATACATATTTCTGAGTTAATAGCAGGGCTTGTCATCCAATACTTATCAGGTAATTCATTTTTTTAAACTTTTTTTATTGATCATTTTATTTGTTTACATTTCAAATGATATCCCCCTTCTCGGTTTCCCCTCTACGGTACCTCCATCCCATCCCTCCTCTACCCCCTCCACTTTGCCTCTATAAGGGTGCTCCTCTACCCATTCACCCACTCCCACCTCACTGCTGTAGCATCCCCCTACGCTGGGGCATCCAGCCTCCACAGGACCAAGGGCCTCCCCTCCCACTGATGTCAGATAAGGCCATCCTCTGCTACATACATATCTGGAGCCATGGCTCCCTCAATGTGTACTCTTTGGTTGGTAGTTTAGTCCCTGGGAACTTTGAGGGGGTCCCACTAGTTGATATTGTTGTTCTTCCTATGAGGTTGTAATCCCCTTCAGCTTCTTAAGGCCTTCCCCTAACTTTTTCATTGAGGTCCCCGGGGCTCAATACACTGGTTGGCTGTGAGTATCTGCATCAGTATTGGTCAGGTGCTGATAAAACCTCTCAGAGAACAGCCATATCAGGCTCCTGTCAGCAAGCACTTCTTGGCATCAGCAATAGTGTCTGGGTTTGATGCCTACAGATTGGATGGATCCCTAGGTGGGACAGTCTCTGGATGGCCTTTCCTTCAGTCTTTGTTCCATTTTTTTGTCCCTGTCTTTCCTTTGGACAAGAACACTACTGGGTTAAAACTTTTGAGATGCATGAGTGGTCTCATCCCTCACTGGGGGCAATGCCTATCAAGTAATTCGTAAATATAGTTTAAAAATATAAAAAACTGTCTCCCGTTATTAATACACAGCTAATATCTGCAAAAAGTAAAATTAAGCATCAAGCCACCATTAAAAATATATGGAAAGCCAAAATGCAACCCCAAAATGCCACTGCTAAGCCCACTGCTAGTTTACAGTGCATAAATAAGGCCCTTTCCATGATTTTAATTCCATTTAGAGCATCCTACTAGAATGGTTGAGGTTCACCTCTGCAAAGCCCAGGAGCGGTAAAATATCTCCCTTCCTCAGCCACCTAGAGCATACCTCCAGAACCCACAGACCTCTAATTTCTGACAGAAATGCTCACCTACCTCCTCAGATGTGATCCAGGAAGGTCCTGTCACTCTATTGAGCTGCTTCTGTTCGATTCAACTCAAGGATGACTTGTGTGTGAACTCAGCCAGGCTGTGAGCTTGACTCAGTGGCAGAACATATAGCTCGCTGGTGCAAAGCCCTGGGTTTCCTACTGAAGTACTGGGGTCTATGGAAGACACCCAAGAAAACACTAAGTGCAAGAAAGAATATCTGGAAGGGACTTTTTAAAAAATAAGATTTATTTTTATTTTATGTGTATGAGTGTTTTGTCTGCATGTATGTAAGTGCACTGCATACATGTTGGATGCCCATGGAGGCCAGAAGAGGGCGCCAGATCCCCATGGAGTTAAGAATGTCTGAGTCATGCAGAACTGAACTTTGGACCGCTGGGAGATCTCTCCAGCCGTAACTAACCTTTTGATAATACATTGTTGGTCATAGTGTTCTGGTCTTTAACTCACTAAAAAGGCAAGTGAGTCCCTACTCACTGTTTTTCCCATTGAAAGCACTTGAGTGGATACACAACATTTGTAACAACTGCAAAAGTTGTTTTTGGGTATTTACTTGGTTCAATTTAAATGTTGCTTTTACTACAATACAAATGTTAGAAGGTCAGAAAGGGCACCACAGAAATGTTTAGAAAGACACATTCATGCTCTTGGTTCTGAAGCCTCCAAGAGAAATGCGGGTTCCTCCTTAAACACATCCTTTATGTGTCTGTGTACCTCAGGTTCACCAGCTTCTTTGTCTCCAGCAAGTTTCTTAATAACATCCTTAGGCTCACCAGGCACATTAGGATCTTCCGGAGACCAAAACATTACAGTAGGAAGTATCAGTATCTGAACACTGGAAGATGGTGGACAGCACGCAAGAGTGCTCCACCAGAGTCTCTGGGGAAGGCAGCAGGAACTCTGGATAAGAGCTATCAGAATAGGTGAGTGGGGGCTAAAAATGTCTCGTTTCAATAGTAAAGTAAAATAGAAACAATATAAGCAGAATGGGCGTCCAGAGTCCACCACACAGGAGAGATTGGCACAATTCTTTCATATCAAAAAGAAGCAATAAAACAGAGTACTGCCGGACTGGAGCCAACGAGTAAGATAGAGACGTGCAGAAAATCTATACTGTACTTTCAGTTATAGACATTTAGATTGAGAGAGAGAGAGAGAGAGAGAGAGAGAGAGAGAGAGAGAGAGAGAAGAGACAAAAGTTGTATGCATCAGCAAAAGTGGGGTGCATGCTAGGAGAACCATCTCTGTTAAGCACCCAGCAACAGCAAGAGGGCATTTAGAAAGACTTGTGCACCTGTCAGGTTGGCAGCCACGGATTTTTCATAAACTGCACTCTAAGGAAATGCAAGCATCACAGAACTATGTACTGATACCTGGCCAGCAGAACCAGAACCTCTAACCCGCTAGGAAGAAAGAGCATCAAAATGGTGCAGCATTCAGCAAGGTAGGATTATAATCAAAATCTGAGGGGAACAGAGACAGGGCTTCCAAGAGCACATCAGGCATTAGGAAGGATCTGGGGGAGGGGGTAGAAAAAGTACTCACAATGGCACCCGTGAAGGACCTAACACTCATGGTACCAGCTCCTTCAAAGTCACACTTTGGGGTGTGACTGGACCAAAAGCCCAATAAAAAATACTAAGAGTCCAGGGTGTAACAACAAGCAGGCACATGACCTCACCCAGAACACAGACCCTCAACCCTCCTCTCACTTTTATTCCTTTTTTATTTGATGCCCAGTGTCAATTTAGCTGGCTGGAGAAGTAGACCTGCTCTGTTCTGTTTTCATTCCCAGTTGATCTCTCGCCCCACTTCTCCCCTCTCCCCCTCCTCCTCCTTCTCTTCTTTCTTCTGTCTTTTAATCTTGAAAATCAATTCTCTCTTTTTTCTGTTTCATTTTCCTTCTGATTGGTTTTTACTAAAGAGCACAGTCTGGCTCAATGGGGCCTTCCTGCCTCAGCCTTCTGAGAACTGGTATTATTCTAAGCTAGCAAAGGGGATTCCTTTGCCTCTTTCTTTTCCTCCTATCGTTACCTGGAATATCTTCATCCACCCACCCCTTGTCTCTATTATAGCGCCCTTACATTTACTGTAACTTCTCCCTTTCCTCATCCTCTGAATACCAATAGCTAGACCTACTGTTTTATTTTTCTTTCCTGTCTACGCCCATATTAGGGAGCATCTTGATGCACACAATATTGTCCGTGTTCCTTTACTTTATGAAATTATTAGAGCTCAAGAAGTAAACACTTTTAACTATTACTGTATTTCAATAATGGGACTAATATGGATTGTCAGCCTTTTGGCTAAAACCAAGCTTAACACTGGGCCTAGTGCAGTGGCTCTCGTTTGTAGGCAAAATCCTACTCACAGAGTAGTACTACGGACTGACTCTGGTGCCTGAGACATAGGGT